TCCCGGAGTTTTAGTCCCTCAGAGGAGAGGTCCTGGGACACACCGGGCGCAAGGCACCAATAACCCAACACGACGCACCACCCTCGAGGCATACACTGCAGACGAGACTGCTCGTCCTTCATCTGAGCTGGGCGCTCACCGGGAGGAAATCCTCCACAGCCTGCCATACCCCCAGGGAGAAGTTTCGGGATCCAGTGGATCAATGACGAAAGGGCGCGAGCACCTTCTAAGGCCGAAGACAGGCGGTCCCCGGAAGCAGTGCCGCCACGACCCCAGAAAGAAACAGCACCTCGGTGAACTGGAGCAGATCTCCAACCCGGCAGTGACACAAGCGGCATCCAGCCCGAGGCACAACAGCATACCCTGCGTAGTGGGCTGAGTACTTTAATGGACATTGACGGACATACCGGCTATTGCATAACGAACCTAATGACACATAACCGGGACTTGGGCTAAAAATCTTAAAAGACGCCAGTTGCACGGTGGGGAAAGGCAGGGGGCTGCCTGAACTTACCTAACTAAACTGTATGCACTAGATTGTTTACCCGAGGAAGTTGATTGCTGCACAACACTATTAACCCCCCACCCCCTGCTGTCTACTTTTATTTTGCTTTGCTCAGACCATCTAACAGGCTAGCCATGAAAACTCCCTGGTTCAACGGGCATGGCCGGTATCCGCCTGGGCACGGCGGGCCTCCCCACATTAGCTACACCACTTCAGCTTGCACCATATGGTGAACAGCATACTTACCTTAATATGTATACCTGGTGGAACTTGCAGATACACAGTTGAGTTATATCAATATATAACATGTGATACGCAGGGCATCACACCTAGAAACCTAACATAATATACAAGCGAATAATAACCACCTAACTTACTGTTATACACCACGTTAAATATATCTGCTTTTCTTTAACTCCTGTACACAAGCATTTAACGTACAAGCTTTGCTTGTTCCCCACTTACGTGGCCATACAACTCGACTTGTATTTAACCCTTACCTCTACACCAGCTTAAAGTCCTGAAACCACAGCTTAGCAAGTAACCTCACTATGCAATAGGACTTGTATTCCATGCGTTGATATGCACTAACCCCCTGCTTTGCATTCTGTAGTAAAACCTGCATTGCTATCTAAACATATAAAAAGAGGCTGACCCATGTGGGTGTTGGGGCACTGAATATGACTTGTATACCATGCATTGATGTGCTCTAACCCTCTGTTTTGCATTCTGTAACGTCTTAAGCTACGCCTCAATAAAAACAAAGACTGACAAAAAAATATGTTCAAAGGATATGTGTGTATACATGTCATGTATATAGTACATGTGCTAATTGCGTTTTTCAACATACATCAGTATGTGTACAAATAGGTAAGTATAGGTATGTAATAGTGTGTGTGTATATGTGCATGTGTATAAATATAAGTGTATGCATGTGTATGTGTAATTGCATGTGTATGTATATAATGTTTTTTTTACTTCCAGTTAAACTGTGTTGACCATTGTGCAGTGCTGAGTGAATTCTGAAAAGGAATTCTCTTTACAATCATGGATGAATGTAGCTGCAGGTATCAGTTTGGATTACAGTCACCTGTCATGTAATCTTCTGCAAAATGTATAATTTAACGACAGAGTAGCAGAACTGGAAGCATATTTGGCTTGATTTTTTTTTTAAATTGACTATGGTGGCCTTGAATTTTAAATTCACTTTGAATTCCCCACAATTCTCACTTTAGTGAAAAACCCTGTAACTGTATGACAGGAGATGTGATGTGCGTGCTGTATGTAATGTGACTATTGTGTCCTCCTGTCCGCTGCTCGCGCCCTTACTGCCAACTCATGCTTGTAAGACTTTTCACGGGCGGCTCATTTCCTTTGGCACAGCCTGCTCACCCCCATCAGGCTCTCTGTTTGTCTTCAATTGTTTAAGAAATCCCTCAAAACCCATCTGTTCAGAAATGCTCACGGCCTTCCAGAGTAACTTTTATGTCACAAATCTGTCTCTTGCTCTCTCCTGAAGAACTACACTCCACTCTCAGTTCTGCTACTTTCCTACCTTGTCTGTTTGCTGTCCCCCTTGATACCCTTCATATTGTGTCTTTATACTCCACCTCTCTAGACTGTAAACTTGTCTGAGCAGAGTCCTCATCAACCTATTACTCCTGTACCATTTTGTAATTCTCTCAATTATTGTTAAATTCCCCCCTTTCATATTGTAAAGCGCTGCGGAATACATTGGCACTATATACCGGTAAAAGCTGATAATAATAATACTGCATTTATGTATTGTTGATGTCAGAAGCTATTGAGGATTGAGTGTACACAGTGATGTGTGTGCAGGGCCAAGTGTGAGTTAGTGATGGCTTCAATGTGGCATGTGAATTGAAAGCCAAAGAGAAACACTCTTTTTATGGAGTCTGGTGCATACATGATGGTGCTGATACTTAGATCCAGACTATTTTTAGTTAGTAGGTGCTATAACTTAATAGGTGTAAATATCACGGCACATTGTATGGTCAATATTTACATGTTTCGTTTACCGATCCTCTAACTTTAACTGTGCCATTATGTAGTAATTTGGAACATCACAACCATATTTTAATTGAACTTTAGAATTACTCAGTTCTTAATTTTTACATAACAATAAACTAGAATTTTGTTGCAATCCGCTTCCCTTTTCTCCATTTGCACTGGACTGTGGATTCCTCCTTTGAATCAGGAGGGCAAGGAAAAAGGAGAAAATAAGTGGCGGGATAAAAGAGAGGTATGATAACAGCTGTGGGTCATTGCCACACAAGTTTAATAGACTCCACCGCAGTTTAATGTCACGAGACATACACAATAAGATTAGACTTTACATTTTTCCTAAACAGTGGTGCTTGGCTTGGGAACACTTGTTATGTGGGTTAAAGTGGCACTGTCATCCCCCTCCTTCCCCACCAAAATAAATAGTATTTCATAAAGTTAGAATCCTTATGAAATATTAATTTTGACTGTGTTGGAATTCCAACCTAGTCAAGAAATATACGAAGACAAAGTAGAACTAGACTACAATACTGTCTCTGTGTTTCATGTGCGCCCAGCTTCCTTAAACTCATGGCGGAGTCTAAGAGTCAATCCCAACAGCCGTCACCAGTGATGGCTGAAGGGAATTGTCTGTGTCTATGGAAGATCCCATGACGGACAGATTTAGGTAAATCTCATTTTATTTGACCTCCCTCCCCGGCCACCAGATCCCCAGTGGCAATGTCACATCTTTGCAAATTTGGCAAAGTCCCCAGACGATTACAGTGCCGCTTTAAATCTTTATCCATTTCATGAATAATTGTGAGAATTGTGGCAGTGATGATGCAGGGACGCATAAACTAATGTGAGTTATGAATACGTATTTTTATCTTTTGATTTTGGCTACACTAACTGCACATATTTATTAATTGTACAGCGCTACGGAATCTGATGGCGCTATATAAATAATAAAATAATAATTATAATCCGCTCAGCGGCTGCTTCAGTAGTATATACTGAGCTTCTGGGTATTGCTGAAGTAACTTTCTGTCAAGTTGGGACTTGGGTTATGATGTCAGGAGAGATGTCCCTTGCATCAGGCAATCCAAATATAGTTGCACCAAATATACTAGCAAGGTATGTAAGTAATTCTATTGGATCTTCTGCAATTTATAGGCCAAAATAGCCAAACGGAAAAATCCTTCAACTTGGCGATGTTTTCAGCTAATCTATTTTGGCTAACAAATTAAAAACTCACTGGTCAATTCCCGACAATTCACGGCTTAGTGAATAACTCTGGATGCAGTGCTATCTGATGATTTCATATTTGCAGAAAAAGGAAAATAGAGAGGTTAGAATCCAAAGACTGACTCAGAAATAGCTAGTAAACGAAAAACAAAACTAGCTCCCTTTACTGTCACTTGCAGGTTGAATAATAAAACTGCAGCTAGGGGGAAAACAAACAGTTGTAAAGGAGCTGACATATCCTTAGCATTTCTCTCTGAAAACATATAGTTCTACATAGATATGTGTAAGAAAATGATCATAAATAATGATGTGCAAGGTTGTTTTTTGTACCACTATCTCCTACCACAATCAGCACCATTGTAAAGCTATATGCTCATAACATGAAAATAACTAAGCTTCATAAACAGTCTGCAATCTCACTCCCAGAAAACCTATGTATAAAAATAATGGCTATTAATTAGAAAAAAAATAACAGCCACCTCCAGAGGATCAGAGGTGAGATTTGGTTTATGAACACCAGAGATGAATAAAATGTAAAACCCCAGCTGTTCTAAAACTACAAGACCCATGTTGCTCACCCAGTCCATAATGTAACCTATCAATGTATCTGATGCCCCCTGTTTTGTAATTTAGGATTTTGGCTTGTGTCCTGCCATGTTTATTCCTTGTTATGAATCCCATGGATTAAGATTTGCACAATAATGCTCTGCTTCTTTCATGTATTCTCCCTGTGTTTGCTGGTTTTGCACACATCTCCCTTGGGACATGCATGCACATAGTTATTACCTATAGGAGGGAGTGATACATGTGTTTTTACCCCCCAAAAAACAAGCTCTCTTTTCATACTTATTATTTAAAACACAAGCAGGCTTGAGGGAAGAGGGGGGAATATGAAGATTAACCTATTCCTTTAAAAGTTAAAGCTCTTTAGGATTTGTGAGGCTCTGCAGCAGCAAATGTCCATTTTTTTTTTTTTTACAAGCTTTGTGATCCAAATCCAGAGCCAAAGGGGTTAATTTAAAAAAATAAAGTGTTTGCAGAGCCTGGTGTTTTTCAGATCCTCTTGTTTTTCTCAGGCAGAGGCTCCGCCCCCATTACATCAGGGCGGCAGGCTCGAACGCCCTCTTCTCATCTGTTCTTTTTCAAAGCGGTGATTGGCTGCTGCGGCCATGCGCTGTGTGCGCTGATTGGCCGGGTTAGTGTGGGCGTGTGGCTCGCGGAACTTGTTTATTAGTCTGTGTGCGGGCAGGGTTCGCTGGTCATTGTACGGGGAGGCTGCAGAGAGAACGCTGGGCGCAACACAACTGCCCTAACTGTGGTCATAATATAGCGGGCTCTGCTCCATAGCCATATAGACTACCGTGCGGGCAGAATCTGGAACTGCCCCACCTGAGCCCACTGTGAATATCAGCACCGTAGCCAGCTGCCCTCTTACCCCCTGTTAGCCGACACTAGGTGACAATGAGGTTGTCTCCGCGGGCAGCTAGTCCAGTCCCAGAAATCATGTGCAGTCAGTGCAACGGAGGGTGCAACAACAAGGTAAGCAGAGCAAGCCGGCCAGTGCAGGGCCTCCTCTGTGGGTACAAACATGGTCCTTCAATGCTATGTGCCAGGATACCAGGGGTCTGGTCAACTCCCCCTCCTCCGGCTAAAAGATGCTACTAATGCCAGGGTAGGGGTGTTTACCACCCCCAGTTCATTGTTTGATTGGTGCCCCCAAGAGGTGTTTGCCACCCCCAGTTTATGGTTTAATGATTGGTGCCCCCAAGAGTTGTTGCCACCCCCAGTTCATTGTTTGGTGCCCGTTGTGCCTGGGCAGTGGAGGCTGTTTGTGCCAGCTCTCTTGCATGAATAGTTTCACAGGCTTGCATCAGTCAGGGCTTACACTGGGCTAAAAGGGGCTGAGACTAGATGTGATGAAACAATGTGTCCTTAATTCCAGTTTTTGACAACAGGATTCTGCTTTTGGAATGTTGGAAGTTGCTTTTTAGTAAGCACAGTTTCCCCCCGTCCCCCATCACATTATACAGTTAATTTTGCTTTTTGTGTAGTTTTTCCTCGAGAGTTGACCTACGATCTGCTTAAAATATGCCACTGGTATCCCTTAATCCTTGATTGGGTCACTCGTTATGTTTCTTTCTTTGGAAACCTCAAATTGTCCAATTCTTGCCCTCAATGCATAATTCTAGATCCTTCTTCCTGTTGTTCACATTCATTTAAACCACTTTTTCCTCTGCAGCCTCTTTCTCTGTATTTTCATAGATCTCTTCCTTCCATTCTTTTCATAGTTTATCACATTACTATTTAACAATGTAAGTTATATTCACTAAAGAATGAATAAAAAACCAAATTGCAAAAACTTGAGTAAATTCTGCAGTTTTCTTTTTGGCCTATATTTAGCAATTTAGGTTTTGGTTGACTATAAAATGTATGTTTGTTAAACATTTAAGCATTCAACTTCACGTCATCCTCTCCCCACTCTAATCTCTCATTTTACAGTACTTTGTCCTTTTATTAATATTATACTTGGGACTTGTACATATTCGCATAACCTAAGTGTCGCAGTGTTACATGAATTGCAGCACAAAAAAAAATGCTTATTGTCTTGTAACTGTGTTTTGTTTTTTGTTTTGTTTTTTGTCTATTGGTTTTGCACTTCCCTCTGGGTATCATAAGTTGGAATCTAACACTGATCCTCTTTTGATCACTTAGTGTCTGATATCACTCCTAATATCCAAGATTCCTGCATCCATTGACCCTTGTTTTAAGTGTACATAAGTGTGTCCTATTTGGCATGAGGACTGCTGACCCTCTCATGTCAGGAACATGTAGGGGCAAGTCTGTATGGGCAGGATGTTCATTGATTGCATCTTTGCTTTACTGCTAAGAGCTGAAACGTTGAACTTCTAGCGAACCCTACACTTTCCTTTTAAGACTCAGCATATTTGATTTCTAGTGGTTTGACTCATTGACATGATTGGAATTGCCTTGACTTGAGACACTCTTGAGAACCGTCGCAGAGGCTAAAGTAATATTTTTAGGTATTGCGCCATGCTACAGTATTTGGGATTAGTCTGCTGAGTTCGATGAATCCTTAATGCACATCTGCTGCAGTGGAGAAGTTGCCTCATCATAGAAGTCTGACCTATAAATTTACATATGATGCTGTGCATCATCAATTTGTATATTCAGCTGCTGTGTTGTTCATGTCTTTCTAGATTTCCATATTAAGCTAAATTTTTTTGCATATGCTTTCAGAACTCGGTAGTCTTTTGTGTGTGTGCGAGCATGCATATGTATGTCAAATCTAATTGTGCACAAACCCATTTTTTTAAATGAAAAGAAACAAAACCACGTAAAACCTACTTTTATAAAAAGGCGAAATGCACCTTCTTGCAGTATGTCATGAAAGTAGGGGGGAATGAAATTTGCAGTGTCATCATGTGTTGACATCCAATAATGGGTGGTCCCTGCCCCTAGATCTCTTCCCCCTCCCCCCTCTCAGTTCATACCTTGTTTATTTTTACTTTTGCTTTGTCTATGCAGTGGATACTGTGAAATTAGAAGCTGGGATATTGTTTGTGTATTAATCAAATTATCCAAGATTTTTTGGTTTACCTTAGTAGGACCGGATTCTGTATCCGTAGTTACCTGCTGGGAAACAAAGCAGTATTTACCAGCTCTGCAGATCTATTGTTGGCGTACTTGGTATGCTAGCGTTCCTATGGGAAAGAATAAGAATGAATAAATCCCTAAAGGACCAAAATGATCACATTTGGCAAAATCCAGATTGGGTATTGTTAATGTTTTTAGGATTTCAGTCACGTCTACAGTTGTACCATGAACATACTCGTCTTTGTGCTTTTAAATCGTCAATATTTCTCTGTATTTTTCTTGTTTGTCAACAAGTCACTGATGTTTACTCCCTCAATCCCACCCGATGCTTAATGGATGCATTGAGGGTTTCTTGTAGAAAGCTGTAGATTTAACTTCAGAAATCCAATTTTCTATTGCCTTTGTCTAAATTTGTCTGCAGCGTGGCTATTATGGTTGTTCAGCAGTAAATCCATTAGGGTTCATACATATGTACAGATATTTTGGGACCTATTGAGGAGCTTGGTAGACCTGCTGCAGCTGTTTACTGAACAGTCTTCCTTTCACAGTGAAGAATTTAAATGAGTGATGTAATCTATGACAAATGTAAATCACACTTAAAGATCTCTGTAGTGTATGCTTCAGATTGCACATATTGAGTTATATTTTACAGGAATTGGGACACTTGTTTAATTAAATATTCCTGAAATTTGCACACTAATCTAAACCTAGTTTGTCACAGAATGGATTAAACCGTAAACTAGACCCGCTCTACCCACTCTTATTCATATTGTATAGATTTTATACACCAAGCTAGATTGTCACCTATGACTCTACCTATAGGGTTAATGTGTTTGGGGCATTTAAATTGAGAGTAATAACACGTAATACGCATGTTAGTGAATGGAAACCAGCAATTAAGAGCCTGGTTAATTACGTTTGTTCACTTTATTATAACCAGCCCCTTATTGGTTTACTAAGCTAGTTAGTTCGAAATAAGAAGGCACTGTGTTAAACTGGCTAGATGACGTCATAAGGAAAGGGAATATAGTTTGTCAGCCCCTGGTCAGAGTGCGTTTTTTCTTATTTCCGTTTCAGAAATCCCCCTTTTCTATTGCCAGGCCTAGAGAAAGGAAGCAGGCAAGCTGGGAAACTAACTCAAAACATTGTATAAGCTTATGTCTATGATATTAAATATTTGTTTTGTTTTTTATTCCCCATCACAGTTTAATCTACCCAGCACTTCAGTTCTTCATATTCTATAAACAATACTATAAATGACCATGTTATAGTAGGCATAAATCGGATTAAACCATGTGACTCAAATCCTTGCTTTGCATCTGCAATCCATAGAAATTAAGAATACATGTACCCATGGTCATTTTTGGCTCCTCCTTCCGTAGCATCCCTTTTAACGTCAAAATAAAATCAATGTTCTTACGCCCATGGCAGTTTTGTTGAAACATGACATTTACAGTCAGGGATATAAACCTTTCTATCTTTGTGTATACATAGTATGGTCCAAGAAGATATAGCTTGTTGAAGTAATTACAATTTTCACTCATGTAAATGTTTATATTAACATTTATTTTCCCCTTTTCTAGGAAATGGGCATCCGTGTCCCTCACCCATTAGGACATGGGCCTAGTCGATTTATTCCAGAAGAAGAGGTTGGTGAATTTTTTTTTTTTTTAAGCCATTTATTGAATTTTTCTTTACAGTAAATACGGAGTTCCTCCAATCTGATGCTGTACCTATAGCCAGGGACTGTATTGAAGTACACTTCTCACACTGTAGCACAATATTGTCCCATAGAATTGAATAAGGTTATCATTTGCAGATTCTTTATATAGCTATCAGAAGACCGATAACTGCCTGTATCTTTACTGCATTTGCTAATACACTGCACTTCATGTCTACAGGGATTTGCTGAGGGCTTGTGTTTGTATAGGAGAAGTGCCAAGCATATACTGATAACATAACACAGAAATGGCAGAACTAGTTTGCTTCAGTTTGGAATCTAGTGCTACCAATGTTGATGGTGGTCAATTTGTATTGTATTGCATTTTCTGGAATATATTTGTATTGCTTATTCTACACAAAACATGGCTAGTTTACTTTTTTGGTAAACTAGGTATTTTGCAGTTTTATTACTATATATGATGAGGGTGAATGTATAAAAACTGAATATGCATAATTTGTGAGTTAGATTACTGCCACTAATACAGCATTTTCTTGTAGAAGATATAGCTGTAAGTATAGTAAATTCTGTGAGTGGTGTACATGTCTGGGCTATAACTGGCCAACTCTCTGTCCAATCCTTTTCTGCAGATTCTTCAAGTTGGGAATGAAGATGCCAATATGCACTCGGTGTTAGCCGAAGCCTTTGCAGATCTGGGTCGCCTGGATAATATAACTCTGATTATGGTGTTTCACCCCCAGTATTTGGAAAGCTTTCTGAAGACACAGCATTACTTGCTGCAGATGGATGGTCCTCTCCCAGCGTGTTACCAGCACTACATTGGGATTATGGTGGGTAAATGTGTGTTATAAAGTAGTGACTGTATCTAACTTGCTTGTCCAATCCAGGCACTGTATGTGTTCAAACACATTTGGGACATGAAAGAATTTGGGATATAATATCTTATTTGGTCAGATACAGAATTGTGATTACTGACAAATAAGTAAAAGTTTCCACATTTAATTTTCTAAGATATGTCAATAAAGATCACATGCAAATCTTGCTTTGATATGTTTACTGAAAGCTTTTTTTAAAATATATGCTGCCATTCACTGTATAGTTAATAAAAGTACGTTGGATCCTTCACCGGCCCTTATAGTTTTAATATAGTGTTTTGGGCTACCTTAATTGCTGCAGGTAGACTCATTTATTTTTAATTTTTTTCTCCACTCTAGGCTGCAGCGAGACACCAGTGCTCTTATCTCGTTAACCTGCACGTTAATGACTTCATTCATAGTGGGGGAGATCAAAAATGGCTGGATGGTCTAGTAAATGCCCCTCAAAAGCTGCGCAATTTGGGAGAATTAAATAAGATGTTGGCTCACAGACCCTGGTTGATCACAAAAGAACACATTGAGGTAGACTGCCTCTCGATACAACTTGTGGATTACAATATTATATTGATTTTGTCTAAATACTAATCAATGACAAACTCTTCAAAGTTGTTTTTTTTTCTTTGTGCTATCTTACAGCAACTGCTAAAAACTGGAGAACACAGCTGGTCTTTGGCAGAATTGATCCACGCAGTAGTTCTTCTCGCACACTATCATTCCTTAGCTTCTTTCACATTCGGTTGTGGAATAAATCCTGAAATTCATAACGATGGAGGCCACACGTTCCGGCCATCATCTCTAGGCAACTATTGCATCTGTGATATCACAAATGGCAACCATGAAGGCCATCATCCAACAGGAAGTGTGACAGTAAGTGAACTCCTTGTCGATACAATTTTTTGTTTTTCTTACATAAAGCATGTGAGCATTGTTTTTCCTGTGGCTTAAAATTTTTTTTTTTTTTTTTTTAAATTCATATTTGTATTTATATTTCAGCCTTCTGAATCCTCTTGTGAAGTTGAAGCTTTGATGGAGAAAATGAAGCAACTTCAGGAAAGTAGGCCTGATGAAGAAGCAACTCAAGAAGAGATGGCAACGCGTTTTGAGCGTGAGAAGAGTGAGAGCATGTTGGTCATTGCTGCAGGTAAAGAATAGTACTTCATATACAAAGTGTAGGTAATAGTTTCAATAACCTCAGCTGTATGTAAGATGAGCAGGATCTGCCATGGTATGTCAATGGCTTAATACAGTGAGGTGGCTACCTTGTAGCTAAATGGGGAAATATTCTTTCATGTGAGATTAATACAACAGCCAATAGTAGGAAACCTATAGATTTGCATTAATTGGCTGTGTCTACACATGTTGTAATAGACATTATTCATAAGTTGCATCATTTAAAAAAAAAAAAAGAAAGAAAAAAAAAAAAGTTGGGCACTTTAATATTTTATTCTTACAAATGCTATTGAGGTGTTGTACTGAGGTGGTTCAGTATTTAAAACCTTCTTAATAGCTGCCTTTGTCTTTCCCCATACAAAGATGAAGACCCATCACCAGCTAGAAATGTATCCCGACATTTTGAAGACACCAGTTATGGATATAAAGACTTCTCCCGCCGTGGAATGCATGTGCCTACTTTCAGAGTGCAGGTAATAAATATTGCAATGGTTTTTACAATCGGTGGTCTCCAACACAGTCCTCGTGTAACACCCGCAGTCCAGGTTTTGACAGTATCTCAATTTGAATAAAAAAAGGAAATGCATAAATTCTGTACTTGGTGGTCCATGAGGACTGGGTTGGGGGACCATTGTTCAAGATTATGTGTAAACCATAGGCGTTGATCTCTGGTATTTATGATTTTTTTTTTTTTTTTTTTTAACCATAAATATTAAATACAACTTTTCTTAATGATATGTGGTTCTTGTTTCCTAATAGGATTACTGCTGGGAAGACCATGGCTACTCTTTAGTTAATCGTCTCTATCCAGATGTTGGGCAGCTACTAGATGAAAAGTTTCATATTGCTTACAACCTTACTTATAATACCATGGCAATGCACAGTGACGTTGATACTTCCACACTGAGACGTGCCATATGGAATTACGTTCACTGCATGTTTGGAATAAGGTGACTGTCATTTATTAGTCCATTTGGGATATTTAACATCCGTGTTTAGTAGGGTATTTTTTTGGGGGGAGGCAGAGGGGAGGGTGTTTTTTTGTGAGCTGGAAGAAAAACTTGGTGGCTGTTCAAAACTGAGATTAATTGTGGGAGCGATACGTAAAAAAAAAAAAAAAAAAATTACATTTTTTTCCCTTAAACTTAAGCACAGTTAATTTTGCCTGAAAGTAAACCTGCCACTTGTGGATGTAGTGCTAAAAACCCTACTGTAACTTTGTAAGATATTTGTAGAATATGGCTAGATTGAGTAACCTAGTTCAGAGACTTCTAGTTTTGTTTGTTTTAATATGGTATTAATGTTCTGCAGGTATGATGACTACGACTATGGAGAAATCAATCAGTTACTGGACCGCAGTTTTAAAGTTTACATAAAAAATGTGGTGTGTAGTCCAGAGAAAACCACAAAGCGAATGTATGACAGTTTTTGGAGGCAATTCAAGCACTCTGAAAAGGTGAGCTATGAGTTATTTATTTTAAATTTAAATACCGAATTGTCTATAACTTGATGTGTCTTGTCTAGTTGAATATGTTGGCATGTATTAGATATTTTTAAATATTATAGTAGCTGTCTTCGCCTTCTGATAACACTAACGGAATGGTAACTTGCCCTTCACTGTAACTCGACTAATGACCAAAGTCTGCCAATAGTAGAGTTGCAGGTACTGGAAAAAACCATAAACAATCTTTAAAGAGACACTAGAGTCAGTGCAGTGGTCCTGTCCTTTTTAACTCTGCAATATAAATCATTGTATTTTATTAAATATAAATATATAATTTTCTACATTGCAGGGTTAGGTCCACCACTAGTGCCTTTGTATTCATTCCACTGGCATTTCTCCCTTTCTATTTCATTGACAACAAAAAGTTTAATGAATTGTAATGTGGGGCAATATTAACTTTTTTTTCTTTGTTTGTTTAGGTCCATGTTAATTTGCTTCTTATGGAAGCGAGAATGCAAGCGGAACTGCTTTATGCTCTGAGAGCAATCACTCGGTATATGACCTGAGTTCATCAGACTTGACTTAAAGAAAGTTTCAAAAGTTCCTTATGGGTTCTGAACTTCTTCCGGGTGCCCTTGGCCTCTTTGGTAGCTAATATTTCAGATATCCATTGTGCCATAACTCATATTGGCTGTTTACAGTCACTGAAAGACCGTAAACAACTTACAGATCAACGTTGTAATGACAGGATGCCATCGTCCTATCTTGTCATGAATGTGCAAGGCTTATCTGTACATTGCAATCCAGCAGTCACATGTGTATCCGGTTATGGCTACATAGGCATTATGAGTTTCATTTTCTACTTTCCCAAGAAGGTGGACTGGGAAATATATGCTTTTCTCATAAGTGTGTACATTAAACTGGTGCTGCTATTCTGCTGAACCGTGACAACCGATGCAGGCGTCCTAATGAAGCTATTTAATAAAAAATAAAAAATAAAAAGTAAAAAAAGATTAATGGAGAAGGTGAACATTTCTACAACCTGAGCCTATTCTTACATGTTTGCATTTTTTCCTTTACATTTGTGTGCTCATTTGCAAATTGGCCATATCCGGCAATCCTCCTGCATCCTTATTTTGCAGGTTACGGCTCACTTTTGGCTATGTTTTTGCTGTTAAAATTAAAAGCTGTGAGAATTTTTTTTTTTTTTTAACATCTTTTCCATAATGGTTGAAATCTAAGTTGTCTTCCTGAAAATTTGTATATATTTTCACAATCTGCTCAGAATTTTCACAACTACAAGGAATGTGGAATATACCTCTTGGTTGTGGGATGTACACACACTTGGTATTTGCAAGTTGCCATTCAGTTTCCTGTATCTGGAGTACAGAAAGTGAGTTGGGTAGTGAACGGACTTCATTTATTAATGTTTTGAATTATTGGTCAACAGTTTGCAGCTGCTTAATACAACACCGTTGGATTTTTTTTTTTTTTTTTTTAAAGAATAACAGGTTTAATAATGTGAAAAGTTGAGAGGAAAAAAAACTGGTTAACTGGTTTTGGGAAACAAATGTAAAAACTGAAGACTTATGAAATTTGTGAATGTTAAAAACTTTCAAAGTCTCTGCACCTTTTTTTTCTTAAATAAAAAGTTAAAGCAAATTCTGTGTCTTCATTTGTAGTGAAGTTTGATTTTGAGCTGATTTATAATTTGACCTCTATAGAAAGGATTGATCATTGTGTGAGTTGTATATTCAAACTACTTTTTAATTTGTTAATTATAAGATCCAGTAGAACTAAATATTTTAACCCTTTAAGGACACATGACATGTCATGATTCCCTTTTATTCCAGAAGTTTGGTCCTCAAGGGGTTAAATAAAGGTAACTTTAGCTGTCACGGTAGTCAATTGTTGCATTTTGAAAATCACGCGTTACAAGTTAGATTCAAACACTATCCTTGCCTATGATTGCTAGTTTATTAAAGGAACACTATAGCGTTAGGAATACAAACGTATTCCTAACTCTATAGAGCCATAGGGACCCATTCCGTGGCGAATAAATGGTTAACCATTTCTTTGCTTACCTCAATCCAGCGCCAGGCTCCCTCTGCACTGGTGACCTCTCCTCCACAATCTACGTCAGCTCCCGAGTGGAGCCGCATGCACGGCCAGAGGTGGGCGCACGTATTCAAACCCGCCCATAGGAAAGCACTACTCTATGCTTTCCTATGGGGTTCTTTTTTGTCAATGGACTCCGTGAGGACCTCTAGCAATTTTGCAGTTTCATCTCCACAAATTCTATTTTGTATACTGTATTTAGTAAATGCCCACTGTGATGCTTAACGTGATGTCCCTGTGGCTATGAGTAGCTCACTACAGTGTGATTAATACAGATCACACAATCAGACCTCTTAAGAACTACAAGATCATAAAGTGCTTAAATGAGATTGTAGTGTGTACAGTATAGTTTTTAAATGGCTGTAACTGTGTGTTGTGGGTTTAACAGTTTGTGTAATGTAGTGTGTATGTGCTTTGAATGCTAAATAAACCAAGAGACTATCATTGGAGAAGTTTGAGGGGGTGCAACCTATGGACTACATGACCTTGCTACATCTTGGACAAGCCAGTGGCTATATAAAATCACTGTCTAGTAGATATACCCCAAATGAGAACTCTCATGCTTTACAGTATGCACTTTATCATTGGGGTATAATCTTCAAACAGTTTGCAAAAGCTGCAGTTCACTCCCCTTCTAACCCAGCCCTTACTTTCTGTGACTGTACAATCCGCTCAATGAGAAGTCTTTGCAAGGTGTGTGCTCTGAGCACTTGCTGCCTCTTTAGTTTAGCTCCACTGAGCTAACCAGTATAATTTATAAAAGTGTCTATCTAATTAAATTTTATTTTTGTAAAATGGAAAAATAAGACCTACAGGTGATATTCAAAAAATTAGAATATCGTGCAAAAGTTCATTTATTTCAGGAATGCAACATAAAAGGGGACACTAATGAGATAGATGCATTACATGCAAAGCAAGATAGCTGTGATTTGTCATAAGTGCGATGATTATGGTTTACAGCTCATGAAAACCCCAAATCCACAATCTCAATAAATTAGAATATTACATGCAATCAATAAAACAAGGAGTGTACATAGAACAATATCGGACCTCTGAAAAGTATAAGCATGCATATGGACTTTGTTTGGGCCACTTTTGCAGAAATTACTGCCTCAATGCCGCTTGGCATGAAAGATATTGGCCTGTGGCACTGCTGAGGTGTTATAGAAGACCAGGGTGATTCAATAGCAGCCTTCAGCTCTTCTGCATTGTTCGGTGTCATGTCTCATCTCTTGGCAATGCCCCATAGATTCTCTATGGGGTTCAGGTCAAGCGAGTTTGCTGGCCAATCAAGAACAGTAATACCACGGTCATTGAACCAGGCTTTGGTGCTTTTGGCAGTGTGGGCAGGTCCTGCTGGAAAATGAAATCCGCATCCCCATAAAGCTTGTCTGCGGAAGGAAGCATGAAGTGCTCCAAAATCTCCTGGTAGACGGCTGCGTTGACCCTGGACTTAATGAAGCACAGTGGGCCAACACCAGCAGATGACATGGCTCCCCGAATCAACACAGACTGTGGAAACTTCACACTAGACTTCAAGCATCTTGCAGTGTGTGCCTCTCCATTTTTCCTCCAGACTCTGGGTCCTTGGTTTCCAAATTAGATGCAAAAGTTGCTCTTATCAGAAAAGAGGACTTTAGACCACTGAGCAACAAATCAGATCTGTTTTGTTTTTTTTTAGCCCAGGTTTGTTGTTCAGGAGTGGCTTGACGAGGAATACGACATCTGAAGCCCATGTCCAGGATCCATCTGTGTGTGTAGTGGCTCTTGATGCACTGACTCCAGCCTCAGTCTACTCCTTGTGAAAGTCCCCAACACCTTTGAAATGGCCTTTTCCTGACAATCCTCTCCAGGCTGCGGTCATCCATGCTGCTTGTGCACCTTTTTCTTCCACATAACTTTCTATTAATGTGCTTTGATACAGCACTTTGGGAACATCCAACTTCCCTCGCAATTACCTTTTGGGGCTTTCCCTCCTTATGGAGGGTGTCAATTATGGTTTTCTGCACAACTGTCAGGTCAGAAGTCTTCCTCATGATTGTGATTCCTACTGAACCAGACAGAGATCATTTAAAGGCTCAGAAACACTTTGCAGGTCTTATGGCTTACTTAGCTGATTAGAGTGGGACATTGTGAGCCTAGAATATTGCATCTTTTCACAATATTCTAATTTACTGAGATTGTGGATTTGGGGTTTTCATGAGCTGTAAGCCATAATCATCGCACTTATGACAAATTATGGCTTGAACTATCTTGCTTTGCATGTAATGCGTCTATCTCATATATTAGTTTCCCCTTCTACGTTGCATTACTGAAATAAATTAATTTTTGCACGATATTCTAATTTTTCGAGTATCACCTGTACATAGTCAATACATCCCAATTAGAGACCTACTGGAACAATGTAAGATATAATTTTTTAAAATTTATATTTTTTCTTCACACACACAAGGCTTTCTAGCAAGCTGCAGTGCTTTAAGGGTCTGGAGTGTCCCTTTAACATACAGTTTGTTACAACCATTTGTCAATATCCCTGCGTTCCTTTCTGCCTTATGGCAGAATTTAACAAATACCAGGGCTCCTGTTACTGCTAGCTGCCTGTGATGCTAGGAGAAAGCATTGGAGAAAGATAAAGGTCTGTGATATTAAGTACAAAGCTGCTTCTTCTTAAAAGCATCTTCATCATGTTGGACTGTGACTTTCTAAAAATGCAGTCTCCTATTGAATTCATACGCATTTTGTTTAACCCTGTTGCAGGGGATTATAAGGAATACCTATTAAATAGCCTTGATAAAATACAACTTACATAGTTCAATATCCATCCTAATTAGAGACCTACTGGAACAATGTAAGATAAATATATATTTTTGGTCCGAACTTAATGGTATACAACAGTATAAGGAATGGTAAGTTTGTAGTGTTGTACCGATACCAACATATGGGTAGGCCCATCAAGGAAAAGGGCGTAATAGTTGAGTTAATCTATGAGAGCAGTGGGTGGGGTCACCTGAACGGAAACCGTGCAGGTAAGCAGGGGAATTGTGTTTTTGTAGGACAAGCTCCTCCTGCAAATTTAGGCCTTTGTCCTTATACGTGTGGTTGGAACTTAATGGTGTACGGAACGGTAGGAGTAGTGGTAAAGCTGGTAGTGTTGTGCCGATACCAATGTACGGGTAGGCCTGTATAAAAGAGGGCCAAAAAGTATTGGTGAAAAACACACTTTTAGCATGCTTGCAAAGCTAAAGTTGAATGATTCCCTAAGCTCTTATTTGTGGTGCGGAATATTGTAGATAGGGATTTCCATCCATTGAATTTTATGATGTGGATGCCTGTTAAGTAATGGCAACAGAGTGTTAGGTGGAAGCTGTTGGGTGTGGGTATGCATGTATCTAATATTGACAGGGCAACAGCTGTTTGTCGGGAATAGTGGGATTGTGCTTGGATGGTTGGTCTGGTTAGTTTTGTTTTAAATAGGTTTTTATTTCGTTGGTAACAGTCTAACCAGCATATAGCAAGGGTGCAAGTTGTTGCAATGTAGCCTACGCAGAGGCTTATCACGGCAATTTTATGGTGGGCTCGCATGTCCCTTGCAGAGGCCAGGTATTGCATCGCCATACAGCAATAATCATCAACACAACATATGCATATAGGTACAGATCTACGTATGTATAGTATACATTTTCTTTTTTAGTATGACTTTCCTAAATTGTTTGTTACCCGAGGTACAGGCTTCTGGCTCATTGTTGTGTGTAGTGTGTGGACATCGTTGGTGCAGCATAGGTTGTGTATAGAGTTATTATGGTATATAGCGCGAGACATGATGTCTAAATAGCAACCTAGTTTGAGCTTTTCGTGCTGTGTCCATCGTCTGCACATGTGTATGTGGCCGTGCCTGCGAATCGTTTACGTAATTGCTTACTGCAATGTGGGTGGCCCTGCATTATATTATTGGGTCATGTCAGATGTGATTATCGTTTTCTTGCCGTCTTTAGGTTACGCGTGATAAAGTAGTCAGAGGGCTACTCGTCTATGTGATCTGCCTGCGTGTCGTATTGTGCGTCCACCGTCTGGTGGGTCGTGGGTGAAGCCATTTGAGATGTCTGTCCTGGGGCCTAGTGCTGTGTGGGGTGTAGGTGTGAACGCTTGTCACATTTGTGTGGTCAGTAATCGCCAGGCATCCCTTTCCACATTTGTATGTCTGGGTGTCTGTGTGGGTCCCTTGTGAGGTATGTTCGTGTGGGGCAAGGTTCAGGAACAGGGGGTGTAAAGAGGTGAGGAGGAGGGGGGAGGATATCTCTGCTGTCTGGTCGACATCCACTTCCCCAGTCTCCACCCCGGTTAGTCCCACCCCATCAGCGCCCCAGGTGGTCACCTCTCTCATTTCCACCAACCTGCTCCTCTCCGCGTCCGAGTGCGTTCAGGAGTAACACCAAGTCATCTGAAGCAGTGTATCTCAGCCAGTAGAACCATCTCTTTGTGTATTTTTCTTTTGTCTTTGCAGTGGTTGCCTTCAGATCCTCAAATGTCCTCCACCTCCTCCACCC